TTTGAACATTGGTGGGGTGTTGGTCCTCAAGATTGAGCTCACTTACTCGGTGAGGAATGCCTTCTTATGAACATTCAACTTCGTCTTCATGGTACATAAATCTTTCAAGATCTTGGCACATGAAGGAATTTGCTTGATAGCATCGAGGAACGGGATGTTGATCTTAACCTGCTTGAACATCTCAATAATGTCAGAATAATTAGCCACCTTCCCAGGTGACTTCAAATGATTGGGAAAAGGGGCTTGAATGGGACATGCCTCCACATTAACATCAACATTTTTTTCTTTCTCACTCACCTCACCACATTCGGAGTCATCCTTAGTCACTTTCTCTTTTTCCAATATGGCATTAGGTGAGACTTTTGGCAAAATATTTTTTTTTCAATTTGTTTGCCACTCCTAAGGGTGATGACCGCCTTCAATTGCTCATAACTCACAACTCAATCACATATTGGCCCCTAGGGTTTTCTTGGGGTTGAGCAAAAAATTTTTCTTTCTCTTGTTGTGATGACCCTATGGCATTGGTCAATTTTGTGATTTGAGTTTGAATGTCATTAAAAGTAGCGGTGATTTGATTGTTGATGGTGGTTTGGCTTTGGATGAATTGGTGCATCACATCCTCCAAATTTCTTTTATGAGGCAGTTGGTAAGTGGGTGAATTGGATTTTTCTTGTTGACCAAAATTTTGTGGAGATGGGTTTCGTGAAAACCCTTGTGGATTGGACCGGGGGGTGTTGGGAGCTAGATGAAGGACCTTGACCATGGTATTGGTTTTCCTTAGGAGGCATAAGAGGTGAATATGAACTAGACCCATGAGGAATGTGATTCTCATTCTTCCAACTGAAGTTCGGGTTATTACTCAAACTTGGATTGTATGTATTAGAGTGTGGGGGGAATGATTGCCTACTTTGATTGAAGGCATTGACTTGCACATAGTATACTTCTTTAAGTTTCGGAATGTTGGGACACTCCGATATGGAATGCTCAACATTCTCACAAATAGAGGAAAACTCTTTGGTCTTGGAAATGTTGGACACCTCGTGTCTCTTATTAACTTCAAGACTCTCCCCCACTTGGTTGATTACTACCCGAATGAGACCTCGGTACATAAGTAGGATTCGTGATATCCCAAGATTGTGTATTTTGTGCCAATGTATTAAAGTATTCTAGGGCCTCATCGGGATCCTCGTTTAAAAACTCTCCGTTACACATCATATCGATGAACTATCGATGGCCTGGTGTAATCCCTTCATAGAAGAAACTCACTAATTGCCATGGTTCAAAGCCATGGTATGGAATGGATTGTACCTTTATTTTGAATTTGTGAGATTTTGCATACCTTTATTTTGAATTTGTGAGAGCTATTTACACCTCTATGGAGGTAATTATTGCGGACAGGTGGGTCCCTTGGAGAGGAAGCCCTTTATTGTTCCATTTGGAAGGTGATGGCATGAATTCGCGTGGATGAGTAGAGGGAATGAATGGTATTTGGTGACCTAGAACTTAGGTACAAGGCTCGTGAGAATCAAGTGGAAATTGCTAGGGAATTATGGGAGATTGCATAGTGAAATTATAGTGGTTCACTGGCTCGGGAGCTCAGCTAGTCCACTCTTCAATGGTGATTCTTATTTCTTTTGTTTCAATAATGGGGGATGCAGTTTACAATCGACCTCTAGTCCTCCTAGGGTTCTTATTTTTTCTCCCTTTTTTACTGGAGGCGTCATACAATATTTATAGAACAGCTCCTAGTTCCATGGGATTTGCACCGAAATTCTTACCATTTATCCGAGGGATCCTCCTTGATTTTTGGGAGAGGATCTTGGCTGTTTGGGGTTTTTTTGCCTTGAATACTATTCTTGGCCACCTATAGGGTTTCTGCTAATATCCACCTGTCCTCTCTACTAATATCCAGCTGTTCTCCCATCTTTTTCGCTATTGTCTTGCCTGGGGGGAGCTCTAGCTCTGATCCTCTAAGCTCTGCGTAACTTGTCTGACCACTTTGCTTGAGCTCATACTTAGAATTTTTCCTATGGTATCATCAGTTGTCCCCCAGCTCTTGGTCAAGTTGGCTTGGGTAAGGGCTGAGCTCAAACTTAGATAGATTAGACCTTTATTAGGCGTCCTTGATATCCTTACAAACATACTTTTGGCGGTTCTCATCAATCATTTTTCTTCTTGTTTCTTGTGAACATTGTCCATTTTAAACCCCTTAGTACTGTTAGCTTTAAATACTCCTAAACCGACAATCTTCCTCTCACTTTTCAACTTCTCTCTGGCCCCTTTTTTCCATTGTTTCCTTGCGATTTCTTATTCCCCGATTTGCTATCATTCTTAGGGTTTTTCACAGAGATGATTTCCTCTAATTTGATCTGAAGGCTTATCGAGGCTTGTTTTCAGATTTTGTTCTCGAGCTTTAGGGAATCGTTAATCTTCGTCTAGGTACGTCTTTCATCTTTTTTGTAGTTCCTCGTTCTAGATCCCTCAAATCTGAGGTGGTTATTGCATTTTTGGACCTTTCAGTTCTACTATTTTAGGAATCAAAATCTTCTTTATCTCGCATTCCCCTCTTCTTAGATCCTTATTCTACAGCTAGAATTTTCGTTATAGGTCATTGGTGTCTTGCCCCCTAACTCTCAAAGAGTGTTTCTCAGAGGTTCTCCCATTTTACAAGTCTTTTAGGCTCCCTTTTTCTAATCCAACTATGTCCACTTCGTCTGAGGCCACGAGTTCATTAATTTCTCTGATGAAAGACAGATCTGCTGAGGCGGATTCTAATATGGGAGAAGTGGGGCAGGAAATTGACGACTTCCCCCGGGTGGATTTTACCGAAGTCAGGGGTGGTTCTGAGGAACCTCCTTTGCCATCCCTTCCAGCTCCTAAAGTCCCCAACAAGGGCAAAACCAAAGTGAGTGGTGTTGAGGTTTCTGGCAATATCAAAGATGGAGGTCCTGCTCCTAGGGCTATTGAGCTCGTGGGCCCTAGTGACCTCGTTCCTTCTTATTTGAAGGTTTTAGCAGGTTGTTTTAGCTTTCCCCAAGGTGTGCAGTTTTGGAGTCCAGACATGTACACTCGATATGATTCTTCCATTCCCAAGAAAATCTGTTTCTTTATGGCTGCCTTTGAGAATGGCCTCCGCTTTCCCATGCACCCCTTTATCAAAGGTGTATTGTAGCATTTCAATGTCTGTCCTGCCCAGCTCTCCCCTAATTTCTGGGGTGTGTTGGTGGGCCTCCTTGTTTTCTTCAAAAAGCACGGTCTTGGGGTCCCTACTGTTACTTTTGCTCATGAAATTCTTCAATGTCAAGTACACTTCTTCTAACAGTTTTCTGTATATCTCCAAGCGCGTGAAAACCAAAGTTCTTATCTCTAAGTTCTCGAGCTCCCACAAAAGTTGGAAGAAACTTTTCTTTTTCGTGTGGGGGAGAGACTGGGAGTTCAACTCCAATTATGTGAATGATACTCTTCCAATTCCTTGGGGCTAGTTTACCCCAGATAACTTGGGTGAGCCTTTTCGTGAGCAGGTTAGGATAATCTTTAGTATCCTTCTTGGTTAACTGGTTTTGTTTTTCAAGCATCCGACCAAAACTCAGTGCTACAGATGAGCGAATTTTAAGGAGTTTGGCCAACTATAATTCAAAAAAATATTCAGAGCTCATTCAGCCCCAAGTTCTTGTAGAGCTTGGATTCAACCCTCGTGAGGTGAAGATTGAGAATCCCATTCCCCTCTCCGCTGTCAATGCTGAGGAAGTTGTAGGTTTGTTTCCTTTCTCCTGTCTTTAAGCCTTGTTTGCCTCTTACTCTTCTCCCCTTTTTTTTTTTCCTTAACTTGTTCTTGTGTTTCCAGGTTCTTCCACTATGCGGCCTTCCTAGGAAGCGCTTGAGGCCAAGGTTGCCCTGTTAAAGAAGAACAGGGGTGGGGCTAAGCGTAAGGCCGAGCTGGGTTCCAACAGCAACATCCCTCCTCCAGCTAAGGCATCCAAGGTGGGTGTGCCTTCCGCTTCAACTATACCTACTCAAGTGGCATTTATTCCATCACCAAGTGCTTCACTACTTGCCAAGACCTCTCCTCCCCATAGGTTCTTTCTTACTCCTGGGGGGGCTCCTGAGCTGACCTCCCCCACTTCAGCTGAGGTCGAGAAGGCTTTAGCATCAGTGACTCAAGTCTTGCCTGTTTTCATTTCTTCTGGGCTACCTGGGAAGTCTCTACTACCCTCCCAAAATAGTCCCAAGATTGAGAAAGGGAAGCAGGCTAAGGAGGAGAAAGAGGATGGCTCTTTCCTGGATGATGCTGAGCTCGCTGCAGGTGCTCTTGACTCCATCATTCCCCTTTCTGATGTCCAAAGGGCTGCTGCCATGCCGCTTGAGAACTCGGCCATGGTAGGATCTCCTTTCATTCGTTTCGTAACTCCATTTTTTGGTGATCGCTTTACGCTGACTTTTTAATCCCTACTGGCCTTGCTCCCAAATGGCCATTTACACGAAGGGGCTGTTAAGTCGAACCCGAGACTTGGAGAGCTCGGCAAAAGCCTCGAAGACATTTGAACTCAAATGTGCCGAGATGGCTTTTGCCAATCATGACCTCCAAACACATGTTTAGGACTTGCAAACATAAGTGGAAAAGCAAGCTTCAACCATTAAGAGCTTAGAAGCGAATGAAGAGAAGATTTAAAAAGAGCTCAAATTAAAGACAAATGTTTGGGCCAAAGCTAGTCAGGAAACATCGAAGGCCCTAAGCTCTTATAGGAACATGAAAAAGGAGTACAATGTCCTGGCTGAGGTGAGTGATACTCTCTGAAATGAGCTCGAGGTATAGATGGCCATAGTGAAGGAAAATGATGCCCTCGTTGATAAGCTAATGGATGACATTACAACTAAATGGGCTACTGGGTGGCTTGCCTTCCAAGAACGGGCTGAAGAGGTGTACCCTGAACTGAGCTTTGACTTTGAGGTTCCTGCTAAACATGAAGAGGAAGAGGCCAACATAGGGGATGCGGGTGTAGATCCTGAGCTTCCTCTTGGTGATGCTCCAATTCCCCCGACTCTGTGCTCCTCCCCCCCCTTTGGTTGCCCTAGTGGTCCTTTCTTTAGAAATTGTTCCTGTCCAAGTAACCGCCGAGCTCCCAGTTAGTTCTTCCACTTCTTCTCCCGTTATTCCTTTTTCTATAGATCTTGTGACTAGGGCTCTTGCCCAGAGTTCGCCAAGGGCGGAAGTTGAGATCCCAGCTTCTGGTCTTCCTGAGATTTTTGCTGCTGATCAACTAGGAGGTGCGTCTGCTACTCCACCAGGAGAGTCAACTGCCGAGTTATCAAGCTCCTTTCCTCCTGCTTCTGTTAAATCTTAAGAGAGAGATCTTTTTTTTTACATGGCTAGAGCTCTTCGCCTTTAAATGTAAATTTGATGCCACTGTTCAACACTTGACTTCTTGAAGTAGATTTGAAATTTTTGTTGTAGCTTTGTTTCCTGTGCTTGCTTGATTCTTGCTTAATTTGTTGAGCTTTGTTTGCTTTCTCTTTTCCCCTGCCCCCTGCTTCGAGGGGACCTTTAAATCTCCTCAAAGTAAGTGAGTTTGGAATAGCTTGCAAGGAAGAGAATATATCCTGAACATTAATGAGCTTAAGTGCTCATTGTTGCTTTATGAACTGAAGAATCCATCGAAAGCTATTTTGAGCTTATTCTATGAACTGGGAAGCCTATTGTGATCTATGGAGTTTTCTTTATGAATTGAAGAGTTCATCATGAGCTATGGAGCTCGTTTTATGAACTTAGAAGTTCATCGTGAACTGTGGAGCTCATTTTATGAACTAAGAAGTCCACCGTGAGCTGTTGAGCTTATTTTATGAATTAAGAAGTTCATCGTGAGTTGTTGAGCTCGTTTTATGAACTAAAAAGTTCATCGCGAGCTGTTGAGCTTGTTTTATGAACTGAGAAGTTCATTGTGAGCTATGAAGCTCGTTTTATGAACTGAGAAGTTCATTGCGAGCTGTTGAGCTCGTTTTATGAACTGAGAAGTTCATCGTGAGCTATTGAGCTCTCTTTGGACAATCTCATAAGGATGAATCAAAAACTTGCAATTTTATTGAGAATACTCAAATTACAGAAATGGCTTACTGAACAAATCTCTTAAGATGTTCTACATTCCAAGAGTGGGGCATGATTTCCCCTTCCTCCGTTTGTAACTCATAGTTCCCTGGTCTGACCACTCCTGAGATGATATAGGGACCATCCCAATTAGGCCCCAGCTTCCCATGAGCGGGATCCTTTCTTGCTAACAAAAGTTTTCTAAGTACCAGGTCTCCCACTTTGAAGCTCCTGTGTCTGACCTTTCGATCATGGTACCTGGTTGTCTTCCTCTGGTAGCCCCTGATACGATGCAGAGCTACCTCCCTCTTATCTTCCAAGAGATTTAAGTTCAATAGAAGTGACTCATCATTGTGTCCATTGTCTACGAATTCAGTTATGGGGGATGGAATCCCAACCTCGATAGGTGCCATTGCTTCAGTTTCGAAGGCTAAGGCAAACTGTGTTTCTTGAGTAGCTGACCTGGCAGTTGTTCTGTAGGCCCATAATACTTCTAGGAGGTGCTCTACCCATTTACCCTTTAGGTCTTCCAACTTGGTTTTCAAGGCCGCTTCTATAGTCCTGATGGTGACCTTTGCTTGCCCATTGGACTAAGGATGAGCTGGAGCTAAAAAATAATTCTTAATCCGGAGCTCAACACATAATTTCCTGAACTTATGGTTGTTGAATTGCTTTCCATTTTCAGAGACGATTGCCCTGGGAATACCAAACCTGCAGATTACTGATTTCCACATGAAGGTCTGGATTTTTTGTTCCATAATCGTCGCTAAGGGTTCTGCTTCTGCCCATTTGGTGAAGTAGTCCACCCGACAATGGCGAATTTACACTGTCCCACGCTGGTAGGAAGGGGTCCAAGTATGTCTAGACCCCATTGCTGGAAAGACCATGGGCTTACCACCGAAGTTAAGAGCCCCGGAGGGCAATGGGGAATATTTGCATGCATTTGGCAGGCCTTGCATCTGTTGACCAGATCTGTTGCATCCTTGAGCATCGTGGGCTAATAGTACCCCTGCCTTAATGTCTTTCCTATCAAAGCTCGAGCTCCGATGTGGTTGTCGCAGACTCCTTCATAGATCTCTCTGAGTATGTAATTAGCGTCTTCATCGCCCATGCATTTAAGAAGAGGTGTTGAGAAGCCTCACTTGTATAAGTTTCGCTGTAAAATAGAAAATCTGGCTAACCTGGTTCTTAGTTTTGCAGCTTCTTTGGGATCTTCTAGCAAAGTTCCATGCTGAAGATACCCTAGGATGGGGTTCATCCAGCTTGGCGGGGCTTGTACAAGCAGCATTTCTTCATCCTTAATGCGCACAGATGGTTCTGCTAGGTGCTCCACTGGAATTAATCTGTCCAAACTTTCTTGTGAGGCTGTTGCCAACCTCACCAAGGCATCTGCTCGCGAGTTCTCAGCTCTTGGGACATGTCTAATCTTAACTTGCACAAACTTCTTGATCAACTCTTGTACCTTTCTGAGGTAAAAGATCATTTTCTCACCTTGAGCTTCATAAGCCTCCTCTATCTGTTTTACCACCAGCTAGGTATTACTGCAAATCTCTAACTACCCAACCTCCATTGAGTGAGCAAGGTTGAGTCCAGCAATGACAGCTTCAAATTCTGCCTCGTTAATTGAGGTCTTAAACCCAAATCTGAGAGCATAATCGACGTCTATTCCATCTAGAGAGGTCAATATCAAGCTTGCACCGCTTCCTTGAGAGTTGGCAGCTCCATCCACAGAAAGCTTCCATGTGTGGAGGTCCAGCACTAACTGGATTGCTTCCATGGGTGCTGGTGTTGTGAACTCCGCGATGAAATCTACTAGAATTTACCCTTTGATTGCAACTCTGGGCTTGAATCTGATGTCAAACTCACTGAGCTCTATCACCCACTTTATCTGCCTCCCTAAAGACTCTCGTTTGTGCAGCACTTGTTTCATCGGTTATTCTTTTGGGACCTCGATAGTATGAGCCTGAAAATATGGTCTAAGTCTCCTAGCAGTTGTCACCAATGCTAAAACGAGCTTCTCTATTTTTGGGTACCTCTCCTCTACTCCCCTCAGAGTTTTACTGCAGTAGTAGACTGGTTGCTGAGACCTGTATTGCTCCCTCACTAGAGTTGCACTAGTCGATAAATCTGAAATAGCTAGATAGAGGGTCAGTACTTCCCCCTACAAGGGGCTTACCAGAACGGGAGGGGAGCTCAGGTAGGCCTTCAGAGCTTTGAATGCTTCTTCACACTGGGTATCCTATTGGAACGCCTTTTTTAAGATGTGAAAGAAGGGCTGACACTTGTTGCTCGACCTGGAGACAAAATGACTTAAGGTAGCTATTCTTCCTATTAAGCGCTGGATCTCCCTTACATTAGACGGTGGTTGAATATCTAGAACTGCCTTAACCGTTTCTGGGTTAGCCTCAATCCCTCTACTCTTGACTATGAAGCCTAGAAACTTCCTTGCGGACACTCCAAAGGCACATTTCACTGAGTTGAGTTTCATCTTGTATTCGTTAAGGACCTGGAATGATTCTGCTAGATGTGCATTGTGGAGCTCTGCCTTCAGTGATTTTACCAACATATCGTCGATATAGACCTCCATGGTCATCCCAATTTGCCTCTGAAACATTCGATTCACTAGACACTGGTAGGTAGCTCCTACATTCTTTAACCCAAAAGGCATAACTTGATAATAGTATGTTCCCTTCTCAGTCACAAATGAGGTCTTCTCCTGGTCGGTTGGATCCATCCTTATTTGATTATAGCCTGAGAATGCGTCCATGAAGCTGAGGAGCTCGTGTCCAGTTATGGCATCCACTATTAAATTGATCTGAGGTAAGGGAAAGCTGTCCTTGGGGTATGCTCAGTTGAGGTCTGTGAAGTCAATGTAGAGTCGTCACTTGCCATTGGTCTTTTTGACGAGAACCACATTGGCTAACCAGGTAGGGTAGTCTACTTCCTTGATGGCTTTGGCATGGAGAATCTTGCAGACCTCCTAATTGATTGCCTTTTGGCGCTCTGGAGCAAAACTTCTTCGTTTCTACTTGATAGGTTTGTAGGTGGGATTCACACTTAACTTATGTGTAATAATCGAGTGGTCGATACCTTCCATGTCTTCCTGTTTCCAGGCAAATACCCTTATGTTGTCCTTTAGGAATTGGACAAGAATGTCCTTTATCTCCCTACTTAGTTTAGATCCGACGTAAATGAGGTGCTCTGGCTCCTCATCAAGCTGAACAAGCTCTAGCTCCTCTGATGGCATTGGCCTAGTGTCCAGTTCGTCTCTCATATCGAGCTCATCTAACTGAACATTTTTGACTTCTTTCTACTTCATCGAGGTCATATAGCACTCCCTTGCAACCTACTAGTCTCCTCGGACCACTCCATCTCCGTTCTCTGTCAAAAACTTCATCACCAGGTGATAGGTCAAGGGGATTGCCTTCATCGTGTTGAAGGAAGGTCTCCCGAGCAGCATATTGTATGTAGAAAGGGCATCAACCACCAGGAACATTACTGTGGTGGTGGCCTGGCAGGGTGGATCTCCCATTGTGAGGACGAGCTGGATTGAGCCCAGGGGCAATATCCTCTCTCCTACAAACCCCAATAAGTGAGTACTAACTGGCTCTAACTTTCCCCTGCCAATGCCCATTTTATCAAACGCATAAGCAAAAATGATGTCTGTTGAGCTCATGTTGTCAATTAGAACTCGGTGAACAGTTCAGTTAGCCACGACAGCTCTTACCACCAATGGGTCATCATGGGGGTATTGACAGCCTTCTCAATCTGAGTCTGAAAAGGTGATGGTTGTGTTCAATCAAGGTGCCTTGGACATAATGTGCACTTCTAGTGCTTCACCAGCTCTAATTCTGTGCAGGTGAGCCTTCCTGGCTGAACTAGACTCTTCACCCCCTGCGAACCCTCCAGATATGACTCTGATTTCCCCTAGGGGTTGCTGGTGTTGCACATGAGCTTGTTGCTGAGGTAGTGGAGGTGGTGGAGCTCGGTTCTGATTATCTTGAGCAACGTAGCGACGCAACTGCCCTTGTTGGATCAGGAACTTGATCTCTTTCTTCAATTGGATGCAATCATCAGTGTGGTGACCATGGTCTTTGTGGTACTCGCAATACTTTGTGAGATTTCTTTTTGTTGGGTCTGTTTTCATCCGGGGTGGCCATATTAGGAATTTCTCATTTTGCACCTCATACAAGATCTGCGATATTATTGCAGTCAGAGGAGGGAGCTGTCGAGGTGTGTATCTCGACTGCAACTCTGGCTATG